TCATCACAAATAAGCAGAAAACACCATGAGACGGAAACAAACGTGGAAAGGAATATCAGGACCTCTGCAGCTGAGATTTCAAGAAAGACTGTGAGAAAGATTCAATCCTTTACACGGCTGTACATTAAAGCTTGAATAGATTCGGCCTGAAGCTGGAGGAGAATTTTTGGAAGAATTTTTTTGTCTGCTGAGACCAAATCTGAACTATTAGCGCCCTGATGTTGCTTTTGTTGATCTAAAGAGAGAACTGAGAGTCAAACATGAACCTGCTGTCACAGTGCTGACAGCTGTGAAGCCAGGAAGCTCAGTTTTAGTCTGATACTAATAAAGTCACAGCAGAAAAGGACCTTCATTTTCACATCCTAATTGGTCCAAAACCTTTTAGAGAACGTCAGTATGTAAGTCCTGGATAGGGCTGTTGCTTTCAAATCTAAGGCAAGGTACATGTCTATGAACTACACACTCCATGAACTACGTTATTAAACTGGAACACTTATCCAGAGGGGAATGTGCAACGATCCATCAAGAGAAAGGCATTTTTTTAATTAAATGTCTTGTTTTGGTGCGGAGAAAAATCTAACTTTGTAAAGCTGAGTGGAAATTTTAACTGATGCTGGGTGCATTGGGAGCCACGCATCATTTCCAAAGGCACAAATATCTGTACTGTGTCCATAACTTTCACTTCTGTAAACTGGTTATAGTCGCTTGCAGTTTATTTGCTACAGTACAGTACAGGATCTATTGTTGGAAGTCTTCAAAGGTGTATCTAATCTGTTCTCTATTTTATTAGATTTTTTAAATTGCACGGATATATAATAGAATAATAATTTTACAGTATCTGCACAGTCTTTTTATGTTTTCTCTATACAAGTAGGAAAATAAAAAACATAAAGGAGTCTGTGGTCCTGAAAAAATATACAAATCAAGCCATACCTATAACACAGAAAATAGATGACTAGGCAGAAACACAACACCCTAGGAATTCGACATAGTATGCCTGTCCTGTATTTGGACCAGATAAAAAAAAGTTATGCGGAGTTAAGTGGTGTCAGTTTTTCATATTCAGCTAGGACTGGGTCCCATTCCTTCCTTACCAGCCACTCTATAGATGATCCCCTCAGAGCATGCCATTCAACTTTGTACTAGCCATAACCCGAACCCTCTATCTATCCAAACTGTTCTCTTTAAATCCCATAGCTGTTACTAAAATAATGCCATACTCTTAGATTGATATAATAATAAATCATTTAGTCACAAAATCATCACCAAACTTGAATTGTTGTTTTATTTTAAAACATTTTTCATTTCACTGTCACTATGAAGCACAGGGTAGTTTTAGCTCCATCTAAGTGTGGAGCAAAGGGTCTCACTAGTGGCTAAATGGCAAATTGAAATGTTGCATGTTAATGTTTTGAAGGGGTGTCTTAGAGTAAACATTTCAGAAGATGGTAATTTACATTTTATTTCCAAAAAACATGAATTGATGAGAGCCACAAAAATTAATGTAGTAAGCAACTAAGAAAATGAATGAGCAACTGTGAAGAGGACTCAAAGAAAGGAACAGTAAGAAAACATTAGGGCAAATGAAATTGAATAAATCAAATATATTTCATGTTTTTTTTCTCACAATAACTTTTTATTTGAATCTTCTGTGATTTGATCAGATTTGGGTCGGCCTTCAACCTCTAAAAGGTGAACACAACGGAAAAAGCTTTGTGTTTACACAAATAGCACTATTCTTTTGTTTCCTTTATTTATTTATTTTTACAAATGGAGACATCTTATGAGAAACAATGACAGCTACCTTCAACCTATTAGTTATCATTAATGGCAGCCTAAAATCTAATTAAGATAGATAAACACCTGCATCAGCTCAGAGAAACCTCACACACATCAATTCATTCTCTATGACCAGCGGCTTCTGAGATCCTTCAGAAGAAAGACTTTTGGCTTTTGCTTTTTCTTTGTCTCATTTAGCACTGTCCAGAACTATATTTAAAGATTTCTATCCATTTTTATTTTGCCTACAGCAGAGGATCAATGAGAAATGCAGCTTGGTGGGTCGGTGTGCCAAAATGGGAAAGGAGCATTAACAAGAGATGATACATTCCATGCAAGGTGCAAAAAATGTGTCGAGTTTCAACGCCGCATCGAGCTGTCAATGGAAATAGGAGCGGAGATGCTTTTTTTTCCAGATGCTGGTGTGACAAAGAGACAGAAAGGGGGTTTGCAATAACACCCTCTCCTCTGGGCATGTGGTTTCTCAGACACTGGATTAGAAAATATGAGTGGTCATGTCACCAACAAAAAAACATAAATCCACTGATTGCCCTCAGCTCTCCTCACCCCTCTCACCACTGTTGTCCTCTCTCTTTGTAGATATAATTGCATTTCCGAGAGGTTTGCATCAGCCTGGCCCTGATAAATTCTCTCTGCTCACAGGTAGTTGCTCGAAGGCCTAACTTTCTCCACCCGTGGAAGCAAAAAAAACTGGGGAATCTCTCCACTGCCAGCGAAAAGCAGCATAATTTTAGTTGAAATCACTCCTGCACAGAAGGCCCTTTTATTTCTTCTCTCCTACAGTCGGGCGTAGCACGTGTGACATGTTTGCTTTTGAATCGTCCCGACACGTTAAAGATGAAAGTTACAGAAGGGCTCCTGTTTCACGAGAAAACGGAGAGGCCCGTCTCACCTAATCTTCCTCATTACGGGCTCTGTGAGAGGCCGCGGCCTGCGAAAGCGGAGGCAGTAAAGCCGCTTAAGGCCGCTGCTAAAGCACTTGAGTCGCTGATAGATGCTACAGACACGCTGAGATCTCAGTACTGCGTGTGCTTTTCTCCCTCTCTCCAGAGGCATGACAGCGTATCCTCCACCTGGAAGCCTTAAAGCCCGCTGAACGCACGCTGGAAGACGTCCACATCAAACAGCCCCGCCCGTCCATTCACGGCCAGTAAACGGGTTTCGCTCCTCTGTGGCGGGGTGGCTGCACCCAGCATCTTTCAAAAGGTGTGTCCAGTCACTCTAAAGACGTGGCCCAGCTGCCGTTTGAGATCGAGGCGGGAAAAAAGACCGACGGCGCTTCATTTCTGAAGAGTACATTTGAAGCCGTGACAGCCAATTAGTTCAACCGAACCAAGACTGAGACAGTTTAGCGTCAAAGTGTCATTTTAATCAGCAGCCTGGCTATTTGAACCATTCCACAGATTTACCTTATGAAAATATATCTATATCTATATTTATAGATATATAAATATATATTGTGACGGATGAAACAGAAAAATTTGGCAACCAAAACGGGAGATATGAGGAATATTGAGAAAAGTGTTACTATATTTTATGAGGTGTAAATCAATTGAACTGAATTCAAAATCATACTGTACTTCAACTCTATGCAGGTGTTCAGCTCTGTGACTTCCTTTTTTTTTTCCTCAGAGGTTTTAAAAGTGGATGACAGCTTTAGCCCTCTATTAGGCTCATTCATCCATCCATCCATTATCTATACCGCTTATTCCTGGTAGGGTTGCGAGGGGGGGGGGCTATTCAGTCTTCGTGCTGATAAATAAGGCAATGAGCCACAAAAGAGCCACAGTCCAGTCTTGAACAGTGTGAAAAGGGCAAGTCAAGCTGTTTTGTAATAGAATTTCGAGGATGAAATGGAAATGTTTCACTTTGGGAAAAACGGCCATGAATTTGATGAGTGAATTTGATAGAATTAGTTTACATTAAAAAAGACAACTCGCCTCCCATTGGATGACATTTGCCAACACTGTATGCAGGAGGCTTTGTGGCTTTACTTTTTGGCCAAGCTCGGTAATATATATTCACAGTGAACCCTGGTCTTTGTTTCTTATTCTTCCCCTTGTCCTGTCCATACATGGCGAGTCAAATGGTTTTCTGTCTGTCATAGTTGTGGCAAACTAATTAGCTTTTTAAAAGGAGTTTTTGTACTGATAACACGAGTCAGACGAGCTCTGCTTGTTGTGTTTTCAGTCCATATGTTGAAACTACTTAGCTTAAAGTTTGTTGCGTCTTAGGACCTGATGTTAACGTTAGTTTCCAATAGGAAAGTAATTCACAAATGAACAGCCTACTGTGTTGCAGCATGGTGCATGAGCATGGTGCTGTGGGCCTGGGAACAGCCCATGTGCCACATACACTAAATACATGGGCCTGACATGATAATTGCCATTTAACCAAGTCCAAATACCTTTTAAGCTCTGTGAATGCTTTCCATATCTGGACATCTTCAGGTGTGAGTTCAGTCACAAATTATGATGTCATTCCCCTTTTCTTTCCAAATGAGCCGAAAGATCATCCCACAAGTCTCGGTTTTCCAAAGCTGTGTAACAAAACAAGACAAATTAAGAAAACAATCAAACAGCTTACAGCATCCGACGGACAAAAAGTGAAGCTGGCTGTGGCGGAAATCTTTAGAAGCCGGACGGCAAAATTAGAAAATGAAAACAATAACACATTACATACACTTATTTGATAATACAAAAGTTATAAAGCCAATTGTTGATGTTTGATTCACTGAAAACTCACACACAGTTATAAAGTTGTGAGTCTGATAAGCAGCCTGATGGGCGATGTCTTAACGGGGGCTTATCCTTGCTTTATTTGGGGTTTCTTTTCGCTTTATGCCACTGTCTAGACGGCAGGTTGAGAGTCTGAGGGTTCTCCCATGGAATGTCTGGAACGTCACTTTTTCTCCATAAACAAATTGATCCAGATGTTATCTGCTCCATCTGGAGGACGGTCCTATGAATTTTCCATGTGCCTGGCAGGAAGACGATGATCAGGGCTTATCCTCCACCTACTCCTAAAAGGTAGACGGCATCCTCCTGAAGCACAGTGTAATGCAGCTCTGAAGGGTCATGGTTTTTCCTTACTGAAGGGATTTCCAATCAGTGATTAAACGGTCATTCTGTTGTCAGGGGGGACCATGGAAAAATGGTTGAGCCGGTTCAATTCTGTGGGGGGAGGGGAGGTCGCATGACTTGATTTAGTTGCAGTAGTGACAAGTGAGAACAAAATTCACAATATTTAGGAGTGCAGAATAGAGGATTGCACAAGATTATATTGTGGATTTTAGGAAATCTATTCATTATTATAAGATGTGTATTAATATTGAAGGTTTTTAAATGTGTTTTTTTTTTACTGGCAGGAGATGGATGTGCTAAACATTTGATGAGGATAAGAAATTGACTTTTTGTCTTGATCATAGTAATTCCACACTGATATTAAAGTTTTGTCATCTGTACATATTAAAGAGGACAACAATGCACTTTCCACAAGTGAAGTAAAGGTTAAGCAGCCGTAGCTAAAAAATAAGATGATGAATGAAAAGCTTAAAAGAGGCTAAATGTCCACAGCTACACTAGTAAGTGGTGGAAGCAGCTGTTAAAAGAGACGCTTCACAGAGGGTCTCAACATCTCAGTTGCTCTGAAAGCTGTTTACTGTACTCGATGGTCTCATTTTGAAACATTTCATGCCGCATCACACAACTCACTCCACTACATTTCGATTCAGGGCACAAACGGGATGAGCAGTCCTCCTGAAACACTCTAAATCTGCCACCGGGTCACAGCGGAGTGATGCGGGAGGGGGCACTTTTCCTCCCACTAATGTGTCATCTCGGCCACGTCTAATAGGGCCTAATGCATAATCAACATTTTCAACACGAGCCGTCTCCCCCCGACCTCGGACACGATGCTCCACCTGTAATTACGGCCAATAAATCCCCTCAATCATCGTACTCTGCTCAGATCGGGGTCATCGCTGTTAATCACAGGCTGGGCCTTGATAATGTCCCCTTTTCATGCAGGGCGGATGACGCATAAGGAGAAAGGGAAATGAAATGTTATTTCTATTAAATGCTGCGGCGCATTAGTCAGAAAAAAAGATTTAATCTATGCTGAAAAAAAAAAAAAAACTAAATTAGAGGCAAGCAAACCTCTTAAATTCAGTCAGTTCGAATCTAAAGAGAAACACTCCAGATTCATTGCACAGGTGAGATGTTTTATTATTATTATTATTATTGCATGCCATTTTTCTCTTCACATCCTCAGACACAAACGGAAGGAAGGAAAAGGTTGTCCGACGATGAGAGCACACGGACCCGATGACAAACTGGTAAATTGGCTGAAGAGTAACTGATGAGAGAAAATATGCGAGATGAAATAAAGATGCTTCCTATGCGTGTGATAGAGTGCGAGAGTGTGTGTGTGTGTGTGTGTGTGTGTGTGTGTGATCCAGCTGAGCGATCGCTGCCTCCAAAAGAGTCTTAGCTTAGTATTTATGGTAACTGCATCCAGTAATGCTTTTTTTTTTTTTTTTTTGCATGTACATTAGTATTTAAGGTACAGATTTTTTTTCATTAAACTTGCAGTGTTACTGTTAGCTGAGGCAATCGGTAAAACGATGAAGACATGGAGAAAACTAAACGCTAAACTGCCTTAGTAGGCAGCTCACTGTTGGATAAAGCTGCTGCTCTGCCACAGATGAAGATTGGGACTTTTTCCTGGGACACACACGCAGCTTCAGCAAACTTAACAGACATGCAAGCCCTTGGATTTAGTTTGGACTAAATTTGGACCCATTTTAAGGCTCGAGCATCTAAACGTACTTTCTGTTCTTTGGCAACTTCACATCACTAACTTTTTTTTGTGTAGTTTTCTTTTAAACTTGTTTTTTTTTTTTTATTGTTTTGTTGAGAATAAATGAAATGGTATTCCCAGGCCCCAAAACTTCTCTTTAAAAGACCACAGTCAGAAATGGAAAGCACTCATTCTCTTCTCAGATATAAACAAAAACACCAAACGGAGAGAAGAGAGCCAAAGGTCTGCCTCAGACTTGTGTGGAACTGGGCCGGGATAAGCGCTGATATGCGGGAGGGGAGCTGCAGCTGGATCAGATCAGATCAGATCAGTGTTTGTGCCATGTCGGGGCAGCCATTGGACCTCTGGGAGACCTCTCCACCACTATCCACTCGTCCGGGTTATCGCGCGCCTTATAGTGGAGCAGAAGGTCCTGTATGGCTCTCTCTTCAATCTGAAAGAGTTTAAAAACAAAACAAATAAATAGAGATCATACACTTGGATAGCATGAGCGGCAAAAACCACATTTTATTGGCAGAGAAACGGGAAATGCTGACAGTGAAAGTTTGAAGATAAATGGTCATGCCATATAATGGCAACCAGAAAGCCACACTTAAAACAAACGTTAAAAGACGTGCTGTGCGACGGCACAGTGAGCATGTGGCTTCAGCTGGAGACGGAGAAGCTGACACAAAAGGAAAACCTAACTTCTAACGAGAATGTTATGTTGACTGCATTTGAAAAAAATAGATAAACGAATACAGAAAGGGCAGAGGGGGAGCCGGCAGAAACCCCCACGCCGCCATGTTTCCGGCCGGTGGAACACACCTGGATGAGCGCCAGCGGCTTCTCTCGGCTGCGGATCAGCGCCGCCTCCTGCTGCTTCTCCTCCTCCACGATGGAAGCAAAGGTCACCAGGGAGGAGGGGGGAGGACTGCCCACTGCACCCATTACCCAGGGCCTGCGGGGGGGGCACACACAAAAAGATGGGTATCAGTGTCAGCAAGAGCAGCAACAGTCTAAACAGGAAGTAAACAAGCTTGTTCGAGTCCACGGCCGGCTCCGTCCACCTGGATCCAACACACCTGGACTGAACTTCAAATACACCATTTACTCTATTTGGACAGCCAAAGTATGAGGGAGGACTTCAGTGTGTCTCAAATGCTTTTTTTTCTTTAAAGCAAATCATTAAATGTAGCTTGACATCTATTGGAAAATGTGAAAGAGCATCCGTTCATTTGTTTTACAGTTCAATTTCCTCTCATAAAAAAAAAAGTACGACCTTACATCCTGTTTTGCTTATTGCTTTATAGGGAGGATTTAAATCCTGGTAACAGACAAGGTGCTGCTCCTCTTCCATTGACGGAAAAACAAAAACTCATGCTATTAAAATAAGATTTCGGATAAAAACAAAAAGGTTAGAAATGAAAATAATAATTAAAAAAACAAAGACAAAAAAATTTAAGGGTACCGTCTGCATCACTTCCATGTTGGTCATTTATATACTCGTAGGGGGTTAATTAGGCCATAAGTTGCCTTTGGAGATGTAGGCATTTCTCAAAAACACAAAGATGTGACTCAGATTCTGCAGAGCATGTCCCAGATGGCTGACATGAGGATGCTTCTCCCGCTTCCTGAGCATTGAACTCGCCCGCCTCTGCTCATCCCAAGACCAAGAAAACCATGAAACCTGCTCTGCGCTGTGTGTGATCCGCTGTGACACGAGGACTGCCCTTATCAGCTGCGATTACCGTCACCACCTTAACGGCGCCATCTACAAGTCTGCTCTGAGACGTAGTGGGATAACGCGCGTGTGTGTGTGAACAGCGGAGGAAGCGTGGAACCACCCACCAGATACGTGCGTCCAGCAGATATGGCCGCACGCTTTGATGATTTATGCCTTTATGTGGTCTGACACCACAGGCGCGTAAGGCCCGGAGCACCGTAGCGAAAAAAAAAAAAGATGCTGGGTTTAAAACGCAAAAGCCAGCCGTTACTACGGTGAGGTATAGCGTGTGTGTGTGTGCCAATTGTCCAGCTGTTTGGGGATGATGTAAAGGTCAGGATGACTCAGTCTCTGAGGGGCAGGCCAACCCAGCTGTACAGGGTCACTCTGAGCTGTTTGTCTCTCTCCATGTGTCCAACTGGAGACCGTGTCAGTGCCCTGGCACTTAAAGCCAACAGGCTCTACTCCCCCTTTTCTTTTATTTTTTCTTAAAAAATTGTATTTATGACACCTCCATTTTGCATTTCTGTTTTTAATCCCTACGTGTCAACGTGGAAGCCAATGGACTGTATTCCAGGTCTTTAAAGGAGAAAAAATTAAGCGTGAAGCTCGGCAGTACGAGCTGGAAGACGCATGTGTGGTGGCAGCCGGCTGGTAACTCAACAGCACCCCCAAGTGGAAATCAGCAGTTGGGCGCAGATGTGAGACTTTGACTCCATATCGACCCAAAAACTAAAAAGGTCAAACGGCCAACTGCGGCCCGGAAGCATTTCCCCACCCACCCCCGGCAGGTGGAGGTGCACCGCTCACCCGCTGGGCCTTTCTTGCTCGCTGGTTTCGGCGCGTTTGAATGTGACCCTCCTGGCCGCAGGGGCAGCACTGACGGGGGAGCCCAGGCCACTCTGGCCCCTCTGCACTCCCGCTTGTCCCAGGCTGGTCAAGCGGCTCTCTTCCTCCTCCAGCAGAGCCCGAAACGAACACGAGGAGGGCGGGGACTGGACGGACGTCGCCCTGTAGGTGAAAACGGGTACAGATGTTTAGCGCTGTGTTTCAAAAAGAAACATCCTCCACCCCTATGAACATCTTACTTATCGGGAAATTCACTACAAAAATAAACTACAGGGTCTTTTTTTGGGGGGGGGGGCAAACATTGTATTTAATTTGAGTTCATATAAAACACTGGTCCAAAGAATCGAAGGTCTTTTCCTTCATGAAATACTTCTCCCCCAGAATGCATTTGACAGATTTTTTTTTTTTTCTTTTACTCAGAGGCCGAGACCCCATCAGAATGAACAAAATGAGCTGGTGACAGCTCCGAGCTGCGTCCAGGACTCGTCCTCACTCACCAGGCCTTCCCACTGCTTTTGGATGGGGTGTTTGCGGGGGCTGCTTTGGCGGCTGGAGAATCCCCACTGGCCTCCTTGCTGGCCATGGCCAACATCTTCCTCTGTTTCTGAGACAGTTTGGTGGAAACTGGGGAGTGCTTGATGTTGGTGCTGACGCTGCGTGCAGACAGGAAGATATGCACAATTGCAGTAAACGGTCATCCTCACAGAGCAGCTGCACACTCAGTCGCACTGAGTTCAACATTAAAATGCATTCTAAGCATTGGGGCCAAAAATAAAATGTACAAACAAAATAAGGATACTTTTCTTTTTAACCATCATGCGGGACTAGAAGGCCAAATAAACACCACCGTTTGTCGAAAGCTTGTAGGAAAAAGGAAACTAAACCCAATATTCCCTCACCTTCCAGGGCTTTTAGGGGTCGCCCCTGTGGACTGCAAACAATTGGCCTCCATGTCCATTATGGCTCTCAGATCCAAAACTGGAGGAGGATTAGCAGGACTGCGGCTTGAAGATTGAAGACAAAGAACTAAATTCACAGATGTTCCAAAAACATTTGAAAAGTAATGTGCTCCTTTAAAAGAAGCCACCTCGTCTAGATTAGGCTTAAGGAGAGAGTTTCATAGACCAAATTCATTCGTCCTTACTGTGGTAGGACTTTGTGGATGGTTTGTGGAATGGAGGCAGGGGGAGTCGGGAGGCTGCTCTTCAAGGAAATTGGGGTGCTGGGTGAAGTCTTCAGTTTCTTACTGGAAGCCTTTTCATCCTGGTGGATAAAAATAAACAGTTCAGGTGCGTCTTTGTCGGCAGTAAAACATTCTTTCCATTTAATATACATACAGACAAATGTGCCAATAAACATAAATCTGCAGATTTCATTGTAGTGAACTACACGCAGGAAGCAAAAAATAGCTACGTTCTAAGCCTGTTTACACAGTTCTGATTCTAACGTTTTAGACGCATCAAAGGTGGAAAATCAACCTCGGTTCTGTCATGAAAGACGGGTGACTGCATGTCCCTTGGACTGCCCACGCCCATGTAGCTGCCCTCTGAATCGGACGTCAGGAGCTCATGCAGGGATTCCGTGGAGGTGGCCTTGTTCGACTTTCCCAGGACAGGCAATACCACTGCATCCAAAGAGGAAAAAAGCCTTTTGTCACATGATGCTGTTAGCATAGCAGCAACTGTGCTGCTCATAAAAAACTGACGGAGAAAAGCAGATGCTGAGTTAAACGGGTTTGGATGCATGTTGTATGTCAGGAAGTTCACCTGCAGCTGGTGGGCTCTGTATGATATCTGAGAGAGTGTAGCCCCCCGAACTGTCAGAGCGTCTCCTTGGTTTCTTCTTAGCCTTCATCTTTGCCTTCTTTAACAGAATCTCCCTGAAAACAGTGGATTTTAAGATGGTACCCAGTTTGTTAAATGACATTTTTAATATGCATTCTTTAAGAGCTTACAGCACCATATTATTGTGTTGTGATACCAAAAGCACTCAATTACAACCATATATTATAAAAGCTACCAGTCTTTTACAGATTGCTTACAACTCATTTATATATGACTCGCATTGCAAATTGTGGCATCCTCAAAATGACTGCCCAACAGTAAATACAGCAGAGGAAACATAATAGAAAAAAGGCAAAAGAGGGTTAAACTCATGTCTCCCTTTCTGTTCACTGAGCGGGTTCAGTCGTGTCACATGTACTCTCCTAAACTGTATTAAGCTACAAAAACATCAAACTACCCCATGGATGGCAGGTCTTCTAGAATTTTACTGATAAAGCAGCTATATAATTTCCCTTTAGGCATTTGTTTTTATAGTAATAGTAAGTATAATGTTCCTCTAAAGCCGGCAAAAGAAAGAAAATAAATCTCCACGCTTCTATAAGGGAGATACTGCGCATGATATGCTGCAAACCTGCAAGAGTGATCCAGTTCTTCTTGTGGTTTGGGGGAGAAGGCAGAGTCCAAATCCTCCTCCTCATAAACACTGAGGTCTGGAGCAGCAGGGTACGGGGTGATGATGCGCTTCTGCATGGCCGGGATCTGGAGTCATATTTAGAGTGGTGAAACGGACATAAAACAACCCATTAACTTTTGTGACTCAGCACAAGCCAATCCATCTGACGCTGTAGTGGTTTACATATAAATACGACCAATGCAGAGGAAAAGTGACCATAAAAAAAGAAAAACATTTTTAAAGGAATTATTAGAAATGCCTGAAGTTATGAAAAGTATTTTATACATTTCTAGGAGTGAAGACTGACTCACCATTCTTTTGTAGGCTGCAGAAAGCTCCACCAGTACTTCATCACTAAGAATATCAAGAGCTCTGTAGACGGCATGGTGACAGAGAGAAGCAGACATTTAGTTCTCTATTACATGCGCTTTTTTATTGCTTTTAATCCTTGGATTCTATCAAAATAATACATGTGTCTCACTTCGACTCCAGCAGGGCGGCCATATTGAGGACGATGAACTGGAGGCAGGACAGTTTCAGCTGCCCTGCATTGTACATGGTGGAAAACTCCAGCAGCTCCGCAGCGTTTTTCAGCGTCACTGAGAAAGAAAAGCGGGCACTTATTTCTGGTGTTCTTTTAATAACTCACCCCAGATGAACTTGTGGCGTAATGACATCAAGAAAGGAATATGTTCAACCCTTAATGCTGCCTTAAAGCAGAAGAAAATAAGGGGTACTGGGAGTTTGCGTGAACGCTCGAAAAGGGGCCAAAACAAGTCAAGACGCGTACGGTTGGCTGTGATGACGACCTCGCACATCTCCTTCAGCCGCGTGATGAGCAGCTGGTCGGCCACCACCAGCACGCTGCAGACAAACTCCACGTTCAGAGACTCTGACGAGGAAAAGGCGGAGAGCTATTTAGCAGGCGACGCACAGTCGTTACAAAATCAGCCGAAGTAATGAAGCGAGAGAGGCTACCTTTAACGGTGGGAGACTCGTCGGTATAAATGTACTCAAGAATGACCTGCAGGATCTCAGAGCTGGTAGGCAGCTCCAGAGCTGAGCAGGATGTCGCCTGAGGAATGCAGAAGACAAAAAAAATATTAGCTAAAACACAGGTTTAAGAATGTAGCAGTGGTAAATTAAGCTTTTGCATACCTCAATCCAAGGGTTCCCAAGCATACTGTTGAAATACTCTAGAAAATATGGACAGTGTGGTTAAAACACTGCTACTATATACAGCAGCCTACAACAAAACCAGGTTTGGTTCGATATGAAAAAATGATCAAAGTCAGCATTTCCTGCTTGAGCTTACCAAGTCTTGCACAGAGGATGGATTTGTGACACGGGAACTCTTTCCCATCGTCAGATTTCAGTGTGACATCACAGAGATAGGAGCTGAACACACATCAACAGCACGAAATGAGAAAATGGGACTGCGTTCACGTGGCTCGTCCAAGGATTTACGATTAAATCTGTGGCCATACAGCCCAGTCACACACGCACCATTTTTTCTGGTAGAATTTGGGTTTGCTGCCGGTTTTCTTGTTTACAACATTAATTCTTCCATTTTCAAGCTTGACGCCGTCCAGTCTGAGGGAAATGAATTGAAGATAAACAAAATAATTAGGAGAGGTGAATCAGAATCAGTTTGCTATTGGGCTCAGAGAGAGCACACGCACAAACCCGCACTCTTACCGTGCACACAGGCTGCTCAGGCCTAGCTTTTTTGCAACAGCCTGTAAGGCCTTCACGGGGTTGGTCCCTCCCTCGTTGTCTCCGGCCTTGTCACCTTTTCCTCCTTTTCCCCTTTTGCCAGGCTTGGAACTCTTGTTTTTGGGCCTGTTGTTCTCACCTTTGGTGGAGGGGGGGAGGGAGCGGTACACTTCGAGGGCTGATTGTCCTCTCAGATCCAGGTCCTGCAGGCTGCTGATACGCCTCTCCTGCTCTGAATCCTGGTAACGGAGATGTTTGAACACATTCTAAATAAAATGAACATGGCGCAGTCCAAAGTAGCCCCTTTTTCCAAGCTCAGTTTGAACAAAGAATGAAAAAAAGCTATTTCACCCCCCCAAAAAAGAGTGTTGATCGTCAGCCTCCTGACCTCATTCGGTTCTGTTGAGGCCCCTGAGATTCTGGGCCTGGCCCCATGCACCAGCAGATCACAGGAGTCAGTGTAGATGAAGTGGAGGGCGTGTTCCAGCACGTCCGCTGGGATTTTGTCCAGAATGAGTAAGTCGCAGCCCACGGCGTCCTCGCTCCTCCTCACTTCCTTGTCGAGCTCGTCGTCCACGCCGCAGTGGGCCGACGCGAACTGCCTCCGGAAGAACTCGGACCTCATGGACAGAATGTACTTGTGAGCCGCGAAGGTGCGATCCCCAGCTTGGAGCGTCACATCGTGGATGCTGTCCGTTTCGTCGGCTTCTTCCAGAAGGTTCCGCAAGTGTTGGGACAGTGAGGATGGAGAGATACTGGGAACCTCATACAAGCTGGAATCCACATAAAAAAAGAGGAAGAATCAAAACACCTGGGTTACTAACTTTCATCATGTTTTTACCACAACAATAGACATCATCACATGCTCCTAAGGTCATTGGCAGAGGAATTTCTTGAGTAAAATCTTTTCTGTTACCACTTGATGGCAGCTTAAAGGTATTATGATCCGCCAACCTATAAATAAACTCCATAAACTATAAATACACCCACAGGATCTGAAGTCACTGTCCACAACAATCACTCCAAATGAAGTGTAGATTTCACATCTTTGTCCTAAAATACTTTTTTTTTTTTTTAAAGAAATAGCTAAGGAATTGTGGTTTCCACTTGTCCTGCTCATTTGTCACTTGAATGTGTTTGAACACCTGTTTATACCAGAAATGTATTTTCTTTTTTTTTCTTTTTTTTTTTTAAATGCTTCAGATTTCTCCATGAGGGTAAAAAATTAAACTATACATGAAGAAAGCCTATTGACTAAATCCGTTCATGGTAATGTGTTATTGCTACGCTTGCACTGAGATGTTATACCTGGTTTTGGGATCGGTCTGAAGCACTCCAAAGTTCCGCCCGCTGGAGTCCATGGTGATGCTGATAGCTCTGTGGACGAACGGGAGTCTCTCCAAGCGGACTCGTTCATACATGGTGGCAGCATCTGAGTGGCCACAGACCTCCACAGAGACATCTGTCCCAAACAGAAGGGCTCCATTTTAACCTTTCAAAAACTCCTGCAAACCTGCTTTTTCCGGCTAACTTCGTGACTTGTGCCCATGTAAAACTTTGTAATGTAGATTTTCTTTCAAACTGGTCAACGTGTCACTGACTGGTGTACAAGCAAATAAAATGACCTTAGAGTAACAAATAGGGATGCTTTCCACAGCCACAAAAACAGGAATCAAAAAGGAACAGCAGGGGAAGATATATATATATATATATATATATATATATATATATATATATATATAAAGATCATCCCGTTCCATTTCCAAAACTTTTACCTTTCTTCTCGACGTACTTCTTGCACTCCCCGGCCCACGAACCACTAAAGGCCTCCCCGCTCTGAGTCACAAACATCATGCCGTTTTTGCTCAAAGCGATATCCGACATGAAAACCTGGCGTGGATACGCCCACTTGCACTGTCTCACAGTGCTGCCAGAGGAGCGCCAGCAAAACACCTGACGGAGACAAAAGGAAACAGTGAGACTTACACAACTATTAGTCATCGCTGATATCTACAGAATATCATAAAGGCCACTTTTAGACAGTACAGCCATCCAACGTACAGCAGGGGGGTTGAATACTAAGGGGGAAAGTAAAGGAGTGAAAAAATTCTAATAAACTCAGAAAGCGTGCTCTCCCTGTGCTGGCATATAAAAACCGAGACAGGCCTGGCCCTTGATGTGTCCATGGCACTTACCCTCCCTAATATATCTAATCCCAAAATGGACATCTTTTCCCCTCCTCCCTCGTCTAAGGTTTGTGGATCGGCTTTGTAGTCCAGAGTGCCACCACTAACCAGCACCTTGGTGATGTTGAGCGGCCTGAAAGACATCAACCAAAACCTTCAGTTAGAGAAGAAAAAAATCATTATCATCATCCGTTTTAAATAAGACATCCATAACCGTGCCATTAACCGTTTGAAAATTCACTCAAGAAGTCACCTTGTGGCCATTTTCTTGCACTGGTAGTCCGCCAACAGAAACACATCCCCCCCCTGAGTCACCACTGCTGTCGCTCCATCACTCGCTGATGCCATGGCAAAGTTAGAAAACCTAGGATAAAAACCCGACACCTCCCGGGGGGCTGTCGTCCGCTTCTCCCCGTTTGGATTCGGCGTGTGTCCTACAAAATGAAACAAAACGTAGGAAAGCACACGCTTTATGCTCTACCGTAACATACGGATGCAACAGAGGGTTTCTGCATTAGTGCCGAGTCAGCTCTACTCTGCTTTTCTTGCAGACGCCACACCTTTAAGTGATTTTTCCATGACAAATGAGGGCCCAAACAGAAAGAGATTCCAATCGGCCTGTGAAGTCATTTTCATGTGACACGAGCACAAAGCGACAATAAAGAACTGAACATCCAATGTTGGACAGCTTTGTTAGCTGCGTTCAGGTACATGCAGAAAAGGCCCTATAGCCTTCAGAAGTTTTACAATTGTACGGAAGACTAACACAGACAGGTGCATGGCTGTACCGACACACACCCACCAAAAAAAAAAAAAAAAAAAAACCAAAAAGTTAAGCGTCCCCGTGTGGGATGGTTCTTTCAGGGTTGAGGCTTACCCAGCTGCCCTCCATTGAGTCCCATAGTGTACACGGCCCGACTGGACCACAGCACCGTGTGGAACCTCCCTGCTGCAACTCCGATCACCGTTGTACCTTTCAGGCTTTTGGAGTAAACCTTAACACAAATGGCCATTTAAAAACATAGCATAAGGCGTTGTATAAAAAAAACAACAACATATGATTCATAGAAATGCACCGGCATCCCCACCTGTTTAGGAACGTGTGCATAGGCCGGAGGAGGATTTAGGCCCAGCTGGTGATAGGTGTTGAGACCAAACGTAAAAACATAGCCCTCCTCCGTCAGCACCACTGTGTGGTCTTTAGCCGCTGCCACCATGGAGCAGTGGTAGGACATTAAGCCCTCCACCATTCGAGGGACCTGAAAAAAGGAAAGAACTGTGGTAACAATTAAAATGGAAAGTGTGCAAACTCATTAGAAGCCCTTTACCAAATTCGAGATCTAACAACCAACTCTTATGGGTTTAACTGGCTCAAACAGAGGTGTAAATAGTCCTTTATGTTTATGTTCATCTATATTACCTATATCAGTTTGTCAAATTGTACAAAAAAAGGTTTGTATCTTTTAAATAGGACACAACTGTGTTCATGTGAGTGTGCGTATGGTTGATAAAGAAGTAGAGTTGGTTTTACTATCACTTTCTGTTTTACGTTATAAAATGCATATTCATTTATTTATACAACACCAGCATATCTAAAAATGTATCAATCTAAAAATTCATGATAATCTTTTTTTTCATTTACGATTTACGAAAAACTGTGAAAATTACATTTGCAAACTGTCTTTATGGATCGAGATCAAGGACGGCACTCCATCTTTATCAGCTGCAGACAAAGTGTCTGGCAGAAATTGATTAATATTTTACAAATGTCTCTAATGTGCCATGCATGCAAACGCAAAGATTAAAAAAAAGGCCCAAAAACAAGTGATGACGAAACTCTCTCTCATGCACATACACGTATCTATAAAATATATCATAGTCATGTATGTGTCTGTTAAACACATACGCTACATATGCAGTTCCCTGCAAAGATGACCATGTTCAACTACTTGCCTTGCATTGCTAATTCAGGGCCAGTTGGGATGCAGAGAGCAGTTAAATATAAAAAACTGGTATCCTTTATTTTTCCAATCACGATAACAAAGAACAAATCTCACCAGGTAGGTCTGTTCATCTCCATGGCCAAGTCTCCCTCCCTGTCCATGTCCACAGGTGAATACTTGGCCGTTTTGGGACAGGAACACAGAGTGGAACTTACACAGCACCACCTAAAGGGAGAGAAATGGATTGAACACAAACTGCTTCTTAAATGGTTTGAGTTAAGTGCAGTGTTTTTCTGACTAAAAAAAAGTTAATCTGAGAGACTGGGTTGTAGCCATTAAGGCTTTCATCGTGATAATTATGCTCTAATAGTGCCAGCTGTGATACATCTCTTTCCATGTCACTCAGCCAAGGCCTCTTGTAAAGACAGTAAAACACTACGCCAATAAAAGGCCTGGGCACGAGTGGAAAAGCAAACATCATTAATAATGCATTGCTCCCCTCAAACCTTCAACAGAGCGCAGGGATGTTTCCTTAAGTATCACATTGATATGGACATTCACACACATGCATACACACCGGCGCAACTCATTTAATTAAAAGCATGTCATTGTGGTATTAATATTTAACCTCTGGCACCTGTCGGAGTGGATTAGAAAGACAAAGGCTACACTCGGTGCCACTCGGTCATTGTGTGGTCATGATATCAGATCTACCTGGCCTTCGCTAGCTTTATGATATCACTCTGCAGGACAAGTCCTGCAAATCTAAAGGAAAATTTTTTTTTTTTTTTTTTAAAACAGTCTTATACAAGCAGGGTGACAAAGAATGAGTCAGCCAAACGAGCAAAAAAACATATTTGAGCCTATTAACACACCCTGAGGTAATTTATTATGTAATGCAGGACTCAGGGGAATATAGTGTTTTCCTGGTTTTACCATGGTGTTTCCACTTACCTTAAAAACACAAAAGGCACTTATTTGTAACGCAACACTAATGCAACATTACTGCCAATGCTTTGTACCATGAGATGTGATAAAGTATATATGAGTAGATTTTGCTCCTCAGCATGGGGGGAAAGCCCTGTGCTGCAGGAAAGCATGGTGTCCGCTCTCCTGAGAGCTGGCACAAAAACAGTGCTGTGAGCTTACCTGCTTAATATAAACTCCAGTCCTGGCGAATACATCCACAATCTCAGGGTGATGCCGGCTCTCCTGATTGCCATGGCCGAGGCTAAAATTAGTATTGTTTCCCCACGTGTATACTTCTGTTGGGTCTGAAGAGAATAAAAGCACTATTAACAAACATAGTCCCACATAGCGAAGCCTGCTTCCAGAACCTGGATTGACCTAAAAAATTTAAAATTGCCCAAATAAAAGCTCTTTGAAATCTAAGACTGATAAGCATTTTATGAGCTATGTGAGGGGCACAAATAATAATGCTGAAAAACTGAGCTGACACAGAAATATCTAAATGTCTTGCCGTTTGAAAAGCTTCAGTTAACGTTATTACACACAGCAAGGCCTTTGAGCCTCGAGAATCATCTGCGATATCCCCCCTTTTTCTTACAGCTGCGTTTGAAGAGGACGTGTTCTGGTCGGTCCTTCATCGTCAGGTCCAGAACAGAGAGACCATCCTTGTCCAGGGTGGAAAGAGTCCCACCATGCTGAACCAAAACAAATCCAAATGTTTATATAACTAAGCAAAAAATAAATGAGATGACAGAATCAAAACAGCAATGTCAGTCTTTAAAGATGACACAAAAGAACATACCAAGCCACCCTTGCCAGAAACAGATTCTGATGAGCCACCATCAGTACGTACCTTGACCAGTGATACGAGACAGTGGATGTGGCCATAGAAAGCGCTGCGGTGCAGGGCGGTCCAGCCGGACTCCTTATCCTTCAGCATCAGATCAGCACTCCTGCTCTCCAGCAGCCACTCCAGCAGGGCCTTCTTTCCCAGCGAGGCCGCCATATGCAGGGCGGTACGGCCGAAGGCATCTCGCAGGGCGGTTGCGTTGTGGCAGTGTGCGGTTAGAAACGCCCGCAGCTTTCCCTCAGATCCTCCAGTTAGGGCGGCTATCACCTGGTCTGCATGCTGCTGTGACCGGCATTTTGGGGTGCAGTCCAGCGGCACCAGATTCATCCTGACCTCAGCCAATTTTTTTTTTACTGTGAAACCTTCTCCTCTTGTGTGACAAAGCCCTTGTGACAGCCCACCACCCTCAATTACAAATGAACTCGAAAACTACGCTAAGTGCGGAAACAAACCAATAAAACTGTCACTGAAAGCAGAGATTCTCTCCAAAGAAAAAAAAAAAAGTGTCAAGAACTAGTCGAGATGGGTTGGAGTGCTAGACTTGTGCTTGTGTTGAAGTTCCACCGCACCCTAGCAACCCCAGAGCCTTTGCTCGATTCACCTCAGTCCACCATTTCGACCGAGGATCTAACACAAATCAAGCAGTTTCCAGCATGTGCTGGCAGCATGAACTCAATAAATACAAAATCTTTTATATATTTTATACAAAATTGTGCACTTGCAAAAATATCTTATCTGAATATTTACAAAAGGCAAAAATTTTAACAACTCTCTAAACTTTACATTTGGCACTCCAACCACCAAACTTGAGGGGAGCCCTCCTTTCCCCCCAAATAATCCCACTTTGCTTTTCAAAACTCCATAATTGTAGAGTGCACCTGTGGAGGAAATGTTTTAATCAGTACTGCAGTCTACAATTACACTTTATTTACACAAAGACAGTAATATGTACAAACATCTCATTTTAACTTAATTAGCTTTAAACTGGGGGGTTAATTTAACATACAGTATTTCCCTGGTTATTAGACTAGAAGGTTCTTCTTGCTCTATTGTACAATTTAAGCATTTAAGATTGCCTAAAAAACACTATGCACACGTTTTTAAGGCATTGACTTAATAACAGGCTTAAAAGCACTGAACCTGCTGAGTCGAAATATTTGATGGAGGGTTCCAGTGTTAGCCAAACTTCAGGATGATGTAATATGCTAACATTACCAAACCACACTAGCTTCTACGTTTGCAGTGCTAGTTGCAGTCGTAACTATCCTAATTAAGGGCCTGCCGTTTGTGAACTTGAATGCAAATTAGTATCTTAAGCAGTTTAAATCCCTTATGGTGACATTTTTTTCCATACTGTTAATGTAACTTCTTGCACAGACAGGTTGTGCTCAAGCTAGCATTAGCTGCTACACGGCGAATAAGCTCGCAATACCAAAATTATGGCCCGATAACAAAATGCACTATATTCTAAAAAAGGTGGAGGCCAACTATAGCCTCTGTCAAAGCAGTAGCAATTAAAGATGTAGCATTATGTAGCATTCCATGATAACGTTTGGCAGATAACCAGGACATCTAGCTCAACTGACACATCATCGCTAGCTAGCATTGGCGGATTGTGAAATTCGTATGTTGCCTTACCTTCCGCTAGATAAAGAAACAAGGGAACATTGAAAAACTTGCATCAACGATGTATTTCCACTGCGACATAACTACAAATAGCCAACGTAAGCGGCGTTTTCACTTGTGCCAAATTTGACTGAACTGAGATCCTGCAGGTTAGGTAAAACCCCTCGTTAACATCGAGACTTCTGATTGGTCAGAGCGTGTGCATCCTCATACTCTATTTGCTTGTTTTGGGGCACGATCTTCCGAGTTAACAGTATTCTGTTGCTGTCTGATGTCATATTAATTATTTATTTTTTATTTCAATGGTGACATAATGAATACGATTATTATTGTACAACAAAGTATTAAGTTACTGGAAATTGACAGTAAAATAACTATTATGAAGTGAATAAAAGATAGTGAATAAAATGTAATGCAAACATTGTTTACGGTTGATAAGTGACTGTAACACCAGCACAAACAGTTGAATATATCACAAGTCACTCCTAAACAACAAGGAATTTACAAGGAATTTTTCACATAATTTATAAATCGAATATATTGGACAGAAGTTGGGCACTTGGTGTCATAAGTGTGCAGGTTCACCTCAACAACACCATGTTACTTACAACAGAACTATTGAGGCCCTTTGTGTGGGGTATCAGTTACATTCATAATCCAGGTGTCATGGAATTACTCAGATGGTTGTCCCTTTGACCCGGGCTAAGAATATGGGAGGGCTAGGATTACACTGAAATCCACATCAGGGGCTTCCAAATATGACATATTGATGAGCGTGCCCTCCCTCACTATTCAAGCATGAACACATACACATTATTTCTTCTCAGTGGTGTAATCCTGCATGATCCAGCACACGATGTTTCCACAACAATGTCACAGTTATCTTATTTCTCCAAATGAGATGTGCACAGACATTACGTCTGATCCCATCTGTATCTTATGAAATAGCGTTACTGAATGCTATTTCTGTTATGACATTGTTTGAATAGTTGTACGATTTTAAACAGACTGATCTTGGACATGCATTTAAATTTTGTGAGAAATAACCCGAACACATTTCTCAGCCTTTCCATTATTTCTCCGACTCTTTCAGGCTGTTTTGCCGATTTCGCTGAGATGTGTTTAACGCTGAGCAACCCAAAGCCCAATTTGCATTTTATGAACGGCTAATACTTTACGAAAGATATACCCAGACATCCTCACCAATCCCCCACATCAAGCACACACACACACACACACAGACACACACACACACACACACACATACACGCGCAACAACAAGAGTGGCAAACTTGTTCGACTCCCCGCACCCCCCTCTTGTTGAATAATGGTACGGCCCGTCTTCTCGCTGAGGTTCGCGTTGCTTCTCCTGGTTTGGTTTCTCCCTCCTGACTCCCAGCGACTGGAAGAGAGGCAGACTGGAAGTGCGTAGGTGATATATAGCACCTCTGAGAGAAAGGGGGCTTTGTCTGCCTCGAACCCAGCACCCAGCGGGAATTATCTGCCGACTCTACGCTGTATCTTTTAAAACATTTTTTGCTGGGACTGTAGAAAAAGAGGAGCGCGCGTCCTCTTAAGAAACAACAGCCGCAACTCTGGAAAACAAGCGGAGGAGACGGCGCAAGTTTTCGGGGCTTCTTGGAAATGTAAATGCATCTTCCTCGAGGATGGTTTGGGGGTAGTTTTACGGGGCGGCGGCCGGGAGCGGTTTCCGAAGGGGATAAACGGTGGGACACGCTTGTGGAGAAACTTTGTTACGAGGCGGTGACTTGTTGGAGAGCGCGATCATTACGCGCGTTCCGCTCACGTAGATTTGTTCCAGCCGAGATGCGCTCGTTGAGCACGACGCGCGGGTCTGACCGCGGAGGGGTCCGAGGGAGGCTGCAGGGGTCCGGCACGATGCTTTTACTTTGCCTCCTCGCGTCCGTGCTGTCCACTCACGGCTGTCCGGACAGATGTTTGTGCGCCTCGCAGACTGTGAAATGCCAAAACCAGGACTTGGACGCGGTTCCGCATCCCATACCGAACAACACCAGGTTCCTGTTCCTTTCAGGAAACAACATCTCGCGCGTCGGCGAGGCCTCTTTCCCTGACCGTCTGGAATTCCTCACGGATCTCTATCTCGGCGGGAACGGGATGGAGCGCGTGGACGACATGGCGTTCGGCAACCTGCCCAACCTCACGCTTCTGGACCTGAGCAACAACAGAATCCAGGATTTCAGCGACAGAGCTTTCCCTCCCGACAGCAGACTGCAGCTCCTGAACCTCAGCGGGTCCATCCGCAACCACTCCTCGGCCGATTCGGTCCTAGACTTCCTGCAAAATTCCGATTTCCCCCAGCTGAGCGCGTTGGATCTGTCCCAAAACGACCTGGTGGTTCTTCCCCGCGGGATCTTCGGCGGCCTGCCCAACCTGAGCGCCCTCAGTCTGCGGAACAGCTCCCTGGTGGCCGTCCAGAACGGGACCCTGGCGGCCCCGCCGCTGCGAGAACTGGACCTGAGGGACAACGGCCTGCGGGGGCTGCCGGCCGCCGCGCTGGCCGAGCTCGGCCTGAAGCCGGGCCTCCGCGTGCGGCTGCTGGGCAACCCCTGGCGCTGCGACTGCCTCCTGGACGACATGCTGGCGTGGCTGAGGAACTCCTCGCAGGCGGCCGACGCCGCCGGCCTGACCTGCTCCGGCCCGGAGGCCCTGAGGGGCCGGCCCCTGCTGCGGCTGGAGCCGTCCCGCCTCAAGTGCTCCGGCAGCATGGAGGGCGTGCTGGAGACCTCCTACGTCTTCCTGGGCCTGGTGCTGGCCCTGATCGGCGTCATCTTCCTCCTGGTGCTCTACCTGAACAGGAAGGGCATCAAGAAGTGGATGTACAACATCCGGGACGCGTGCCGAGACCACATGGAGGGGTACCACTACAGGTACGAGATCAACTCCGACCCCCGCCTGGCCAACCTGAGCATCAACTCGGACGTGTGAGAGGGAGGGCGGGGTACGCCAAAACCCGGGAAGCGGCCATGATACGTCAAATGACTATGCTTACCAAGATCTGCATGAAAGTCTTCCTGTCCTGACCCTAAGCCCCGCCCACCTTTTCAGCCTCTGCCGCATGTCCCGCACAAGCACCCGGCAGCTGGGATGCCGACCGTGTTCTCGCTGTCACATCGCATGGACGGTGAATCGTGGCGAAGGGGGTCTTTTGGGAGAGCCGGCCCCATGCGATGCGTTCAGTTTTCGATTTTTTTTCCCCGAAGGGTGAATGGACGGAGGGCCCTGAAACGCATCGCCTTCCCCTCCGACTCCGTTTCGCTTCCGCTCCAGTTTGCCACTCTGGATATGTGACATGTGCTGTAGCCTTGTTTTGAGTCGTGTTAGTGTACTCGAGGAGTTGTTAGATGGATGTGATTGCTGCTTTTCTTTTTGCCCCCCCCACCCCTCCCCGCTGTGAGGTTATTCAGCTAAATAAAAAGCCCCCTGGATCGCTGGTGTCTGTCTGGACTGAAGACCTTTTTAATCATCAGCCCAGAGGAATGTGACCCCCGAGGGCTTTTGATGGTGGAGCGCGGGGCCACAAACACACTCACACACACACACACACAGACTAGAAGGGCATTTTCCACACGACGAATGGTCGATTTTAATTCTGTGCTCAACAAGTTGAGCATGTCATTGTTTTAGATCTCGGCCCATTAAGCAGGCCGGAGACACTTTTATCTCCACTTGAATAACCCCAGAGATACGAAACTAAGATTCTTTATTTTTGGGGACACGGGGTTCATTTTAGATGTAAATGAGCCTCTTATCTGGAGGCGTAGAGGTGTCTCCCCTTTCGATTTGCAGCCTTTTGCTTCAGATTCTGAAATAATGTCTCGGATCTGACGCGCCGGCTAGAAAAAACGAGCAGTAACAGTCTGGTGTCCTGGAAGTGTTCGCTTTGCAAACGAAGGTAAACCAGATCCAGATCCTCCTGGGCCACGCGTAGAGGTGTGTTATGGAAATGAGCTTTTGCTTTTTGTGGAACTACTGTAGCATCCACACCGGAGAGGGGAAAAAAAATCAAATAACAGGTACTCATTCTGTGTTTTTAAGGAGCACAGAGATAACCGTTTCCCTTTTTGCCCTCCCTAAAAAACCGCCAACGGCAGATATTCCCTTCACCGTTTGCCAGGTCGGTCTTTCAGCATCTCACATCCGGGGGGAGCCCAGCGTTCAGCTCTGCTTGCCCCTGATTGGGTTCGTTAGACACCAGAACAGCCCCCCGACGTCACGCGCTCGGGTTCACACTTCCTCCCCGCCTGGAAATCTCGTCATCGGGAGTGGGAGCAGAGGGGGGGGGTGACATTTGTTCCGGGGCGGGGTAAAGAGGCACAAAAGAGAAAGGGGGGGGGGAGCCGACCGCCGTCTCCTTTGCTCGTAGCGGCTTTTTATATCAGTCCCTGAAACAATGGACCCCCCCCTCCCCTTCCTTCATTATGCCTCTGTAACTGTAGCAGCTCGGCTTTTTGAAAATGGATGCTCACACTTCACACGCCGGCGTTAGTCTACCCCCCCCCCCGGGGGCAGGCCTCCTTAAGCGTCCGTCCCAGGAGGCGCTTCCAGGTGCGGGCTGCTCACCGCCCGGTGTTTCCACAGAGACCGGCACGGAGCAGGCCCACACCTCTCACACATTAACAAGGCCTTTTTCTTTTTTTTTTTTTTGTCCAGCCACGCCTCGAGCCACGCTTGGCAGAGCTGGCATTATTACAGTAAAAGAAAGATGGTGGGCGGGGGGTGAATGGTTAAAGAAGAAGAGGAAGAATGGAATAAATTAGGGCAGGGAGCACTCCTCCTTTCCGTGATGACGCCCTCTCTGACTCCATCCTCTGTGCCTGTTAAAACAAGTCTCAGAAACGGCCCGGGTGTCTAAATAGCCGATGTTTGACTCACGGGCAGCGCGGGGATTCAAACGGGGCTTTAGCTGAGTTGCTGAGGCCGAAATTTTTTTGGAAAACAAGTTGTGTAACTGGCACAGAACATCAGCGTACCTTTATGAACCGGGTGCAAATCAATCTTAGATTTTTCAGATCAGTTCAAGTACAAATGCAACTCCTTTGAAATATCGTGAACTGGGAAAGGCATGTACATGTATTAGCAGCAAGCTATAGTTAAAGTATTCAAGTAGGAGTTCTACTTTGGTCCTTCTGGTGTATTTATTCCTAGCAATAAAAGTATAAATGTGTAAGTGTACATGCTTCATGTCTTTTATACATGTTTACAGGACCTTATAGTTTAAAGGGGTTGTGATAGTATTAGCATGAGAAAAGAAAGTAGGGAAATAATGAATCCAACTTCACTAATGATTTCTCCTGTTTTGGGGATTTTGCCCCCTAACCTGATACCTAATGGTCAAATAGAATAGAACGGAATTCATATATAGTCATATTCACATATAATTTTAAAGAACTGTTTGCAGTCACTGTTAAAAAGCCTGACAACTTCTTGAACAAAGGTCCTCCTGAACCTCTCAGTCCTGCAGCTCAGTGAAGTGTTGGCTGTTCGGTTTATGTTTATTGCTCTCTACAACATTATAACAGATAATAATAATAAATATGAATGTTTGTCTATAACCACGTTTTGATGGACATTTTAAAGGGTCCTCAAACAGTGTTAAATGATCCATTTCATGCTTTCTTTTTGGTATATAGTGCTCCACAAAGTTTTTGGACCACTTCATTTGTGCCACAGCTGCCCTAAATTATAAGCATTTGTAATTGCCAAATTGATTATTCTATATTTTTCTAATGGTTAATACATTATGTATGTATAAGGTCTCTACCATAAATTAAGATTTTAAATATATAGTAAATAGTAAAATATAAATGTTATTGATTTAATGATTTTTCAAAATGTTTGACTTAAATAATCTAATTAAATAGTTAAGGGATTATATGTGCTGTGGGATGTCAAATTCTATAAATATATTTATTATGTTAGCTTTATTGTTTTGCTTAGTGCATATTTTACTTCTAAGAGAAGCCCAATGAGTTGGTTATAAAAAGGTTAACTGATGGCTGAGCCAAGCTAGAGTCCATATAAGATTTAGCAGATTGGAATACTGATTTCGCAAAATTGTGGGAACGGCTAGAAACTATGTGGAATGTAATGACAAGAGAAACTGTAAAAAAAGCAGATGAAAACAATGGAGGCTGTTCTCAAGACCAATGGACGCCATAGAAAATATGCAGTGTGAAAAAGGACTTGTATAACAAATAAAAATCTCTTACATTTTTGGTTTTAAACAGGCTTTTGACATTTCTTTGAAGACATTTTTTTTTCTTCCTTTTCTAACAGGAAGTCTTGACATTTCTTACGCAGTGTAAATTCTATCCCTTCTGATTCCTTTCCCCAAACATCTGCCCTGTAGCTTTTTGAAAATCTGCACCTCATTTGGCTAACTCCCACTGCTGAGCCCTGAACTGAGCTGGAGCGGGATACATATCACAGTCCATTTTTCAGAGTGGGGCTGCAGCCAATTACGCTGCAATCTGTCATGTAATCTGTGGCTTTTTCCCTCTTCTTTCCGCCAGGCTGGGGGTTGGGAAAGGAGCTGCCTTCCGGAGAAACGTGACGAAGAAATAACATTTTCAGATCTTTTTTTCTTTTTTAATGAACCTCTTTAGCTGATTCCTGAGCCCCGTCCGTTGGGCGGATCCCACACGGCTTTGTCGAGGCAGTTTTTTGCAGTTTGAGACGTCAGAAATGATGATGTTTCTCCCCTAGAACAGATAAAAAACAACGTCCCGGCTTCATTTGGAGGGTCTGAGCAGCCGGTTAGAAAAAACGCCGCCCTCCTCATTGTGCCGCACAAAGACCGGGTTTTTTTCTGCTCGCTGCCATGTGTGCTGAGCCACATTTAATATGCCAGTGCGCTTTCCCCTTGTGTTGAGCGACGGATTGGCAGGTTATCGTATTGCCATGTGTGCCGTAATTACATTCCCGGCACCGGCCAGCCCTGCTGCTCCACAAACACCTGGCAAGTTGCCCCGACCGCTGACCTTTCGGGAAGCAAAAAAAAAAAAAACCCCTGTTTATGTAAATGGAAGTCTTGTTGGGCTCTTTTTTTTTTTTTTGAATACGTGCAGCAGGCTGGGAGTGTTTTGTCATGTAAACAGCAGCCTTGGTGCACACGGCGTGCCCCACACTCGTTTTTTTTTGATGGGCCTGCCTCCTGTTGAGCCACGCGGCGGCTAACGAGCGTGCACCCCGCGCCAAACGAAGACGGATCCGAGCCGACAAGCTTTGCGCAGCATCTGCCACATGTGCTCCGGGGACGGCGGCGGCGGGGGGGAAAAAGAGATGCTGAGATATATCTCCGCACAGCTAAAGGGAGGGGGGGGAAAAAAAGCCCAGGCCCACACGATCCGCAACACACGTCCGAATACATTCTGATGACATTTAAATGTAGATTTGCCACTTTTAAGGCTTCCCGAATAGTTCACTCATGCATATATTTGCGTGTTAACTAACTGAATAACGGTCTGAATAACGAAATGCTAGAAATACATAATTCTCAGAAAACATAGGAACAACAAATCTCTCATAAAAAAGACAATTTTGTAACTTTTTCCAATAGATAACAGTATTTCTATCTGGTATGACCTAAACCTCCTTTCTCACTTAGTGTTACATCAGCAGCAAGAAATCTCTCCAGCACAGGAGTGATTGTTGTTGTTTATAGATCGGCTGAACAATTGATCAGTCTCCCTTCTAAAGAACTCCAGTCTGAAACTCCTCCACCTTCTCGGAGTGTGCGTAACACAAGAGAAGCCTTTTTTTTTATCAATTCTTTTGGATTCCTCGTACAGTAAATGTTGAAAAGATATCACATCCTGTTTCTGAGAGTCTGATGGGATTTATGATGACAGGCCTTCTGGTCCTTAATGGGTCTTCACGATTAGGCAATTACAGTTTTACATGACATTGCTGTTATTTATTTAATCCTCGTTAAAGTCAAATCTGGAGGCGGTGTTTGGAATAAAAAAGTAGCCACTCAGACAGATTACCTGGTATTTGATTGTGGAATTCTTTGGTATAAAGAGGAGTTTACAGGTACATTGCCATGGTCCTGTAGTGATACTAGATGTTTGTGCTTTATCTGGTTTCCACCAAATGTGCACTGTACATTCACTCCAATCTCTGCTTTCATCCATCCAAAGAACACAGTTTCAGTCTTGTGGTTTGTTCAGATGCCACTTTCAAAATCTAAGCCGTGCTGCCATTTTCCTTTAAGATAGGAGATTTCCTCCTAGCAACCCTGTTGCTACCCTGACCAGACAACTGTACAGACCTGACCCTGGGCTGAA